CTGCTGTCGGTTTGACGTGTGAATGCGTTCATTGGAGGATTCAAAAAGTGGAGATCGTGCATAAGTTTCCGCGGGATATATTGCGGACCTCGAGTCGGGTGATATGGAACTGTCATCCGAAAAAATCCAGCGAGCTACGGGCATATGTAGCCGCTGGATGGCTTCTCGTTCATTCAGTCAAAGTTCGGCTACGGGCTCGATGTCGATCCAGGTTTTGATTCGCCATCGATTCAGACGTCGATTCTCCACCAAGAATCGACATAGAATCGAGATGGTTATCGAGCCATCAAGAATCGAGCTGAATCGATGATTCGACTCCGGAGTCGAATCAGCGATTCACGAGAATCATCAATTTTCGGTAACCCTTATGACTTCCCCTATTGCCTATCCCACGATCGACAGTGATCTACACCCGATCCCCATATGTCTGCATTGCTGCGCGGACATGGCCTCTCAACGCAGTGTGTGTTCTAAAACAATGCCTGCAGCAAGATGAAATTCGTCCTGAGTGCATTCTGGCAGGTTTTCTGGCGTACATTCTGGCGCCAGAAGCAAAAAATGGTCACAGAACAGACGCTGGCGTCGGCTATCTTTTTATGTCACGTCTGGCGCCACTGCGCCAGATGCGATTCTGGCAAGCTGGCGGTGTTGGTAGAGCTGGTGCCAGAAAACACATTTTCCTGGTGAACCAATCATCAATTGCTATTCTCATCAAGCAGATCAGCGCCTTCCACAGCGCGCGCAGTCTATGTGTACTGCGGAACGCAGAACACAACAAACGCGTCCTCACTTGGCTAACATGTAAACGATCTTCGGTTCCGGACACAAGAATACTCTCAGATCGGCGCTCGAACGCCGACTCACCCTTCGCTTCCCCAGCCATTCATTTGCGTTGTTGAAAATCGAGCTGTGAACGTTATTCTCGAATTATCGAGTAATCACCCAGCAGCACCAGAACCGAAGAGACTACTCTAGTACCGAGCGTCTCGCTGCGAAGAGGATGTAACGGCGCCGTCCCTGTCCCTGGCGCGGAAAATTGGCATTTCTGCTTTTCGATGACTCGAATTGAGATTCCTCCATGCCGACGCCTATCACGACAGGTAGGCTGTGGACGTCACTGCGGAGACCCCTTTGTTTTACCGTGTGTAAAATGACCTAGTAAAAAGTATCCAAGTCCATCGTGTTTTACTGCTTGTTTTCATACATAGTAAAACATTGCCAAATTTCATCTTCGGTAAAATGATTCATTTTTGAGTGGCAAAACATTTCTCCCACCAAAGACATAGTGAGAAATGTTTTACCAGAATGCAAAGAGATCATTTTACAAAGGGAAAATTTAGCTTTATTTTACTGGTTGTGAAAACACCTTTTAAAACAGCTTGGACCTCAAATAAATACTTTTTACCCGGCCGTTTTACCCATGGGAAAACAATCGGATCACCGCAGTGCGTGCGAGAAGCGCGGCACCGGCCTTGAGCGCTTGAGCGGTGACTCCGTCAACGTGTATAAAAGGAGGGTTCCCGTCAGTAGTTCACCAGATCCCAACTTCTGCGGATCCTACTTCTCATGCTCTCCCTCTTTGCAGCTCTCTCTGTGTTCGTGAGCGCAGCCTCCGCGCTGTTCCAGCTCCAGAGTCTCAACCCTGCCTGTATGCTCTGTTGCCTCCCTGACTCCAAATTTGTCTGATCCGTATTTCTTGTAGTCGCTGCCGCAGGGACTCGCGGATGCATCGCCGCGGCATCAGACGTATCTGGGACGCCGCTGACGATTCATAACTGCGCCACGGACGATCTTTCGCACCAGGACTGGTGGTTCACCGCCCTTAACGTCACTGACGGGACACAGGGCCTGAATATCTACGGTAACATGGTCAGCTGTCGCAAATGCTTGGTGAATCTTTCATCCTCACACGAGACCGCAGTGCATAGAAGTCGCGGGGGGTGTAAACGCAGTCGGCACGCCGCTGCAGATTGCTCTGTGTGCGCCAACCACTGCGCGCCAACAGTTTGTCCGAGTCACGCCTTCCAGTGGGACTTCAGCATTCGCGCTGCAATGGGGTAGCACGGACAAGTGCATTGATTTGACCGGCGGGAGCATCGTCGATGACACTCCCCTGTTGCTCGCGACCTGCGTCGACGGGGACACCAACCAAGAGTTCACCGACAGCAGCGGGTACGTTTCTCTTGCGTGCAAGGAGCGCACTATTCATTGACTTGCACAGGACGATCACCATCCAACCCGCTGCCGCAGTCAACGAGCCCGAGCCCTTCTGCATGGGCGCGACCTCCGCCACGCCCGGCGCGCCAGTCATGCTGCTCTCCTGCCCGGCTTTTGGTTTTGCGGACCCCAGCGCACTCCTCACCTGGACCATCCCCTCCCCCTTCACGAGTGTCAGCACTGAGCCCATGGCCATCGCCACCAGCTTCGGTCTGTGCCTCAATGTCGCTGGGGGCGTCGATGCGGATGGCACAACGCTGGAATTGGCGACTTGCTCGCCTGGCGCGGCGAGCCAGCAGTTCGACGCAGGCGCGTCCGGCGCGCAGATCCAATGGGCGGACACAGGGAAGTGTCTCACTGTGCCGGCATATGCCAATGAGACTGTTGTACGTATCTTTTGCCGTCCGAGGGACAAATCCAAGCTGATTGTTGTGGCTTAAGATCCAAATTGCCGAGTGCGATACATCGGGCCAAAACCAGAAACAGAATTGGATCTTGGAATAATTGGGCAGTGTACTGTAATACAATACTGCAATACAAGACAGGTCATTTGATCTGTAGTATACCAACCAATGAGAGCCAGAACCGGTTCTATTACAAATTCATGTTTTGGTGACGACTATCGAAATCCCCGCCAGTCGCCGTATGCTGTCGGTGGAATTTCCTGCAATGGCAAATTTTGGGTGGTCGACGCACGGCTCCGAGTCCCGCAACACCGTCAGGGAAACCACTCCGCGGTATTTCTAGGGAAATTGGGGCAAAATTCTTGAATTACCTGATTTCCAATTTGACCTTACCCCTTAGCCGACGGGCGGAAATTTGGGGTAATTTACCCAAAGTTTACACATATTACATACCAGCTTTTTCACCGGGTTTCTGCTGCTCTTCCACTTATCTGAGACTGGGTATCCGGCCACCTTAGCATAATTTAGCTCAGTTCAAGCCATCATCTTCAAGTGACGCAGAGTCAGGAAACCCTTTCACTGTTTGCTTGCCATTTGTTTAAAGTTTACAGGATCCTGAAAACTAAACGGAAATTTGAACGGTTCGTTTAAATTGTTTCTAAACGGAAATGGTTGGAACCTTACGCCCCACGCTCCACGTCCCGTGCCCACGCCCCTGTGCCCCGCCCCACGCACATCCCGTGCCCACGCTCAGCCCACGCTCCCCACCCAACTTCCAGGTTCGTGCACAGCTACCGCTACCACTCTTACTCGCGATACCTCGAAGAAGGAACAGGCGCGCAACCACAAGGGCCCCATTTCGACGTCTTGTGTTTGCTTCCATAGGCATCGGCTCAATTCAGCTCAGCTCAATGCCGGTTTCGCTAGTACTTCCTTCCTGCGTGTCTCTCTTCCTCCACAATTCAATATTGGATTCGCATCGCGCACAATTCTGCGTGCCGGACAAGTGCCCGGGCGTTCCCTCGCCCTCCCAGGGCTTTTCTTATCCGACTCGAGCTTGTCTTCCCGCCTGCCTGTACGACGCACCTATTCCCCACCAACAACCTCATCCACTTCAATCTGCCCGTCGACGCGTCTTCGTCTTGTCGTGAAGCCAAAGGGGAGCGAATGTCAGTTGTTCACTGCCCGGCCTCGGCTCGGGTGCCCGTAAAAATAAAATAAAATCAATTGGCGCTCTGAAACTTTCTACTACTTACGTCTTTCAAGCAAGCAGGCGGCCTTGCCTGCGTTTGTCGGAATCAAGATTCTCGTGGTATCTTGTCTGATTTCCAAGTATACCTCATACGTGTATGCATAAGGCTCACTGGTCAGTCCATTTGCGATGTATTCTGTTCTTCCCACTGTCTCTTTATTGCCGTCGATGTCACGCCATTCCGGAGCCATTCTGACGCCATACATAGCGAGGCGCGTAATCACGTATTCCAGGCACACCGTCTAGATCTGGAGTGGAGTGGATCTCGAATAAGATAACAAAAGGGAAAGATTGTACAGTCGCCAAGTTCCAATAATGTATGTCTCCACGTGGGTACCAACCACCGCTTCCTCGAGACCTGAAGTAAGCTGAATTTATGTGCCAGAGGAACACTAGACGGGGACTTCTACCTGCGTAGGCGGAGGTCCCAGGCTCTCCCAGATCCCACGTTGCGACAAACATGATTGTGTGTTAGACAGGATCTTGGTCTAGATCTGAATGTATGTGTCCGGATCCGTGTTTCCATTTCCGTGCCCGCGGTAAACACGATTCGAGTAGTTATTTATGTTCCCCTTCATTACAAGTTCTCTCAGATCATACAGTGAAGCTTAAGGTGCGCCTCCACATTTCTGTCTCAAGGCGGTGGAATGGAACGAAACAAACAAGTGTTCCCTCTCGGGCGCTAAGGGATGCTTTCCGGAACCTCCAGAAATTATTCTGCCTGAAATAAGTCGCCAGATCGCTGGTTTAGAATGGGCGCGGAGTTCCTCTCACCTGTATTACGCGTTCAATGATTCAGCCAGTATAAGCAAACCTTCCGAAGTGATTTTGTCGTTCTTGGGGGCAATCCACAATAATGATGCTCGCGTTGGTATTTGGGGAAGGCTCACGCTCAAAAAGTACTCTGTACAGATTTATGTCCCGGGTGGATTCGAACCACCATGTCTCCCTTGTAACGTATACACGCTCTTATTCGCCGGGAGTGAGCTGCCTTGCTCAACAGAGACTTTCCTAAAATCCTTGTGGGCCTTCAATGTCACTCGAATTGCCCATTCAAAAACCGAAAATTTTGCTCGCGTCGGTATTTGAAGATGGCTCACGCTCAAGAAGTACTCTGTACAGATTTACGTCCCCGGGTGGATTCGAACCACCGTCTCCCCCTTGTATGGTATAAATTTAAAGATCTTATACCCAGGAAGTGAGCTGCCTTGCTCCACAGGGTCTTTCCTAAAGTCCTTGTGGGCGTCCAATAACAATATAATGAATTATCATCTCGAACGGGAGCTTACTTACCTGTGATTTGTTGTATCCCGGGCATCTCGGGCATAGTGATTCCGGTTCTCAAGCGTACCTGATTCTTGATTACTGGGTCCTGAATCATCCTGTCGCTCAGACAGGAGAGTACATTCTAGATACTTCTCCCTGGTACTACTCTCAGTACCCGAATGAAGAAGGTCATCGACCGTATATGAAGGCAGACAAGAAAAGTTTATGGCTTCGATCTAGATGTTGGAATATGAATCCACTACCGATTTTGAACCTTGCTTTGCCAGTGATGAAATGGGACACCCTACCCGGTGGTAAAAGCGCAAATCTTAGCGCTTCATTATTTGTTCTCCGGCTTCTCGAAATATCTATCCATCGATGCCGAAAATTCAAAAAGCATCGAGGTTTGCTCGCAAACCTGACGCAGTATGCCGAACATGACTAGCCAAAACCCACACCTCATTTCATTCGGGGCACGAGTGCAACTGCAACGCAACATACATCATCTGATCCTTCTTCCTACTTTCTTTACTTCAACACCGGCATATTCACCGACGCGCCCCCTCCCTCGCCCTCCCCGTCGACGTGCGCATCGTCCGACCGCCAGAGCGTCGTCGTCGTCTTGGTTTGCGTGTAAAAGTTGATGCCGCTGCGTACGCAGTCGTCAGTGTCAGGAAAGAGCGAAAAAGCGGCAGCGTCGCAAAATGAATAAAAGAGAATCATGATCGTGATGAGCCGAGACGCAAAAGAGATGCGTTCGGTGCGTTCAGTTGAGAAGGTGGTTGGGGTGGGGTGCCAGGGAAGGAAGGACGCGATACTCACCCTTTGCCGTAGAAATTGATATCGCCCAGGAAGCTCGCCTGTACATACGATCGGCCGCGTCAGTTATATCGTGTCTCTCTCCCGCGGTCCCGAACGAACGGCCGAGGCAGGTGGCCACAATACGTGAAGAACAGAACGCACCTTATTCCCCGTCCACGAAAACATCGGAAGGGGCACCGGAATCGGCACATTCACCCCGATCTGCCCCGCTTCCACCTGCGCCGAGTGTTAGTTAGCGTGGTGTGCAACAATCGTATCAATCACATATGCACGACAAGGGCGATGCAAGGCAGGATATCCCGCTGGGGGAGTATTTACGATGCGCGTAGATAACGGCCAAACATACCTCCGTCTCAAACTTCCTCGCGATCGGGCCCGACTGCGTGAAGATCGCCGCGCCGTTGCCGAACGGGTTCGCGTTGAGGACGGCGATGGCCGCGTCGAGCGTGGGGACGCAGAGCACGCACAGGACGGGGCCGAAGATCTCCTCTCTGGTGAATATCATCAGCTCAATTCAATACAATGCAATGAAAAGCGAGGGGAATGGGGCAGGAGGGGAACGGCAGGAAGGGGGGAGTCTGAAAGACCAAGACCAAGAACAAGAACAAGGAAATCGAAAACTCACTTATACGCCGCCAACTCCGTACTCCCCACCTCGATGATGGTTGCGCCGACCCAGTTCCCCGCGGGGTACCCCGGCACCTGCACGCCGCGTCCGTCGAGGAGGATTTTCGCCTTCGAGTCCGCGTTGTCCGCAGAGGCGATGAGGCTCTCGATGCGCGCACGTGCTGCGGGGGTGGTTACGGGGCCGCTAGCGGAGGTTTGGTTAGCCATTGAAGTTGAATTGGTGGTAGTTGGGAATGGGACTTGTTGGGGAATGGGAATCGCATTGTTGAGGGAAGGCAAGGGAGGGGAAGAGAGCGAAATCAAAAACAAAAACAAAAACGAAACCACTCACAACTCCGCCCCCTTCTCGAACCCCTGGTTCAGCCTCAGCTTCCCCGCGCGCGCGACCAGATCGGGTATGAACTTTTGCGCCGCGCCGACGAACACGGCTGTGGGGGGGCGCCATCCATTGTGTCAGCATCCACGCATCCGCATCGAATATTATATTATATTAATGAAACACAACGCACCGACGGAAATCGCCATGCACCTCTGCCCCGCGGCGCCGCATGCGGCGCCCAGGAGCGCGTTCAGCGCCTGGTCCTTGTTCGCGTCGGGCATGACGACGGCGTGGTTCTTTGCGCCCATGTTGCACTGTGCGTCAATTCAATTCATTTCGTCAGTGCGCGGGTCAATGGCAATTCAATGGGTTTTGTCGGGTAATGGACGAGAGTAAAACATACCTGCACGCGTTTCCCGTTCTTCGTGCCCCTGTATACGCATAAAACATAAAATCAGTAATTAGTACGGCGGTACTTGAGAGTGGGAGGGACGGAGACACGGACAGCTCGTATATGTGCCTGCCGGCGCCATTCCCGCCCACGAAGCTGACCGCGCGGATGAGTGGGTGCGTGCAGATGGCGTTCACGGTGGGGACGGTGCCGTGGACGACGTTGAGTGCGCCGGGAGGGAGGCCTGGGAAGATTTGGAGCCGGAGGTTGAGTTCATATCAGATTTAGGTGAGGGGACGGAGGAGTGAGAATGGGTGTTTGGAATGAAACATGGAGGAAGGGATCGGTTGGAGGGGGATGAGGAGTAAGGGAGAGAGGATATTGGTTGTAAAGCGGGGAGTAAGAAAGGGACGCGCACGCACCCGCCCGGACACACAGCTCGGCGATTATCATGGTCGCGCCGGGATCGCGCTCGGAGGGCTTGATGACGAGGGTGTTGCCTGTCACGAGCGCCATGGGGATCGTCCAGAGGGGAATCATTCTGCGCCGATATCAAGGTTTAGTTCGTGGGGAGGCGAGGAGGAAAATGGAGTGCTCACGCGGGGAAGTTGAACGGTGCGATGCTGCCAATGTAGAAATCTGACGGGAGGGACAGAGAGCGGCAACGCACCTGGCACAAACGCCCAACGGCAGCTTCCGCGTCTCCGTGTCCATGTCCTTGCTCACTTCGATCTTTTCGCCCATGAGCGTCGTGGGGATGGCGCAGGCGGACTCGACGACCTGCAGCCCGCGGAGGACGTCGCCTTGGGCGTCTGGGTGGAATCGGTTGAGTTTGAAGTTCAACGTGACAATGGATGATTGACGCACCGGCAAACGTCTTGCCCTGCTCGAGGACGATCGCGGTCGCAATGGTGTCCATGTTCTCGCGGATGAGCGCCTGCAGCCTAGTCATATCAATATTAGTGTTACTGGCCGCGCTGTTTCCACGCACTCGAAGGCAAAGCGCTGCCGCTTCAGCACGCTCGTCTTCTTCCACGTCTGGAACGCCTTGGACGCCGCTTCGACGGCGCTCTCGAATTCCTCGGTAGTCGTCTCCGGGACGCGCGAGAGCAGCGCTTGCGTCGCCTGCAGTCATTGCGTTCGTTCAAAACCGTGCGCCACGACGATGCACGCACCGGATCCAAAATATCAATCCACTTCTCCGTCGTACTCTCCCGAAACTCCCCATCGATAAAGTTCTTGGTCGTCCCCCCCAGAAAGTTGGTGCCTTTCCACTGCGCGGAGAGCTCCTCCGCGCGCGCTTGGGAGAAGGAGCTGAGGGCGGGCATGTTCAGTGTATTCTTGTGGGTGCAGAGAGCAAGAGAGGAGGAAAGGAGCGGAGCAAAGGGCTTCCGCTTCCCTGCGCACACGAGGCGCCTTCTCAAGCTCCGGTCCGGCTCGGGAAGCACTTGTTCGCACGGTGACGCGGTCACGAGACTGCGCGGTGTCGCCATAAATATAACGCAGAGTAGCCAGCGCCTCTCCCTTGTACTGTGGAGGCGAATAAATCGGCGGCTGGTTCGTTGTGAACGGCGTCGAGAACAAAGTTGACCTGGTTATCTCACAAACACGGTACAAAAAATCTAACTACGTCGACGCGAAAATGGTCACGCCTTCAGCACATCCGGAACCCTCGTTGACCATGTTAATGGTAAAGGTCGCGCAGTTGTAGTCGTTCGCATAGTGCACGCACGCCTGCCCCGTCGTGTCCGAAAACGCCGTCCCCGTCCAGCAGATGATCCCGCCCGAGTCGCAGAACTCCTCGTTGTTGAAGTTCGCCGGAAAGGGGGAGGTGTGTTTGGTCAGCGTCGTCGAGTATGAGTTCCCCGTATCGGCCTGCGCGGAAAGGACGGCAGTGGTGGTGCCCTGCTGGCAGGCAGTGTCGGAGGCGGTGCAGCACCCGGGTTTGTACGAATAAGCGAAGTTGGTCGAGGCGAGGCTGCGACGCTCAGCTGGGGATAGGACAGGGTCCGTCAGAAGATTGCGAGGGTATGTTGAGGGTTGTATGCTCACCGGGTTCCACGACGCCCGCAGAAGCGAGCGTTGCAGCCAAGACGACGAGAGCGTATATTTTGCGAATCATGTCTGAGGATCTGGACGGTAGCTGAAGAGAGTGCTGGTTTATCCTGCCTTGAAACTCTCTCTTTTATATAACGGCGTATTTCTCGCCTAGCTCACCATCACCGTGCCGAGACCGTTCCGCATTCCGATCTGATTGGAGACGTCCCATACATGCTATTTCCATTTCTTAGGTTGCCGTTATATGGGTGCACTCCGGCGCCCAGCGCTGTAATCCACTTGAATCCCAGACAAGCGCGTCCCTCAGCACCACCGTTCCGAGACCGTTCCTCTTGCCGGGGAAGTCCGATGCACGCTGTTTCGGCTGTCTTAGGTTGCCGGTATTTTCGCGAACTTCGCCGAGCGCTGTAATCTACGTGAATCCCGAACGAGCACGCTCACCATCACCTTTCCGAAGCGACTCTTATGCTTGTTTGGCCGGCGGCACGCTGTTTCGACGTCCGTCTGGCTCTCCAGTCCGGGACGCCGAAAGGGATCAACTGAGTTCAATCTGGTGTTTTCTTCCTTCCTACGCTCGGATTTCTTTGGTCGGAATTATTCGACTCCTGGACACTCTCCTGTTCTCAAGCCCCACCCTTGCCCTCGGCCACTAAATCAGTCCATTCGGTTACATGTATGACGTTTGACAAGAACCTTGTCGAACTCCGAGTCAATTAACCCCCGTCCCACTTCTTGACTTC